TTTTTTTTTTGCAGGAAGAGGAAAGGATGTTTTTGGCATGTGGGAGCCTCAGCAGGCTGGGCTGTGTAAGAGTTCCAAACCGGACATAGCTGTAATGAATGGGCTGCCTCCTGGCTCTCTAAACCTGCTGCTGCCTCACCCCAACAGCAGGAGTGTCTGTGGGCCTCAGTTTCCTTATCTGCAAAATGGGAGTAATCACACCTGCCTTGTGTGGCGTTCTGGATATGATACGAGGTAGCAAATACCGAAGAGTTTTAAGCAAGCATGGCTGAGGAGACAAGGAACTCAGCATGGTGCCTGGCACATAGTAGGAGCTTAGGGAGGGACAGCTGCTGCACCCCGGTTTTACCATTTTTCTTGCTGGGAAGGCCTCAGTCTTGCAGTGTCAAGGCCTTGCCTCTGTTTGCAGCTGCAGAGTGAGGTGGAGAAAGGTAACACATGGCACTTAATGGGCCTCTGATCAGAGGTTGTTCCTACCTCTCTTTCTCTGGAGGGGCCCCGGCAGCCGGAGGGCATGTGGGGTCCTGGAGAGGGCACGGGTCCTTCTCTGTCCCTGCCGCCAGCGGCTGTGGTGGCTGTGGGCCAGAGCCCTGCTGGCCCGGTGGGCAGGGTAATTACGTCTTACGTAAGTGGGAGGCCGGATCCCTGACCGTTGCCCAACCACTGTGAGTAACTCAGGAGGCACTCAAGGGGGGAGGTGGCTGGGGAGGGACTTGGACTGCACAGACCTCGTGGAGCCCGGGAACCGGGAAATCATACGCTTCTCCGTTCTGGAGACCCAGGAAATTAGACATTTCTCTTCTCCAGCTTGGGGTGTGTGCCTGGCTTGGTCAGTGCTGGGGGACTTAGGGCAGGTCCCCCACCTTCTCTGGGCCACAGTGTTTTCATGGGCAGAAGGAAGAGCTCGGAAGCAATGTTTGTCTCCGAATGCCCTTTCAGCTCTTCCAGGGGGGGGATGCCTCGTCCAAATCAAAGTTAAAGCTGTAGAATTGTGAAGGTAGAGAGGTGACAGGTGTGAAGGGGAAAGGGACTTTGGAGAGGCACTGCTTGGTCCCCATACGCTGTGTGACTGGAGTCCTGGTGTTGCTGTCTCTGAGCCTCTCTCTGCAGAGAGAGAATTGGGATGAAATTCCATTTTGTGGGTCCAGGTAATAGATGATGGTGGGTGGGTTAGATGGAGGGTCAGGAGCCTCTGCAAGGCCTAGGGACCCCGTCAACCTCTTTGGGGTCTGCGGAAGGATGTGGTGGGGAGCCGCGGTACCACCTCACCGAAAATCCTGACAGCTACCACTTATCAAGCTGTTTGCCCTGTTCCAGGTACTCTCTCATTTCTTCCTCACAGCCCCCATTTATTGAGGCTCAGAGGTGTTCGGCGCCTTGCCTGGGTCATACAGCTGTGACAGGTGGAGCTAGGGTCCTATCTAGGACTGTCTATCTCCAAAGGTCTCCCCAGTGCTCTTTTATGTTCCATTCTTGTGCTAGATGCTTGAGCTGAGCTGCTGGGTGGCCCCCTCTTCCCCACCCCGCTGCCCCCTGCCAACCGCCGTCCCACCGTCCCACTGTCCCAGCTAGTGGCACTCTCCATGACGTCTTTGTCTCATAGGCGTCTCCCCCAGGCCGTGCCTGACCCGGGGGAAGGACTGAGCCAGAGGTGATGCCTTTCGTGTACACAGCCCTCTACAGTTGGCACATCTTATATTCACCGCAGTCCGTCCCATTTGACAGATGACAAAACTGGGGTCAGACAAGGGGAGCGGCTGGACTGAGTCCAGAGAGCTGGGATTCTCACCTGGCTGCCCTTCCCGTCCTGGGCACAGGGCCCCCAGCATTGTGCTCTTCTCCACCTTCTCGGAGGAATTTGAACAAAACAGGGCGTGGTTGGCACTTGACCTTAAGGGAGCTTTCCTTTTGTCCTTCCTGCCTTGCAGCTGGTGCCCTGCTCCATCCTCTATGCCGCAGGCCTGGGGAGTTTTCCATGAGCCCATGAGACCCCAGGTCCCACAGCCCTGCTGGTCTTCCCCAGTCTCCTCTCGCACATGCCATCTTTGGCTGGGGTCAGAGGCTGAGGGCAGCTGGCACTGGGGCCAGTGGTCAGGGGCACGTTTAGTTGGCGTGGTTTGGGTCTGCTGCTTCAAGCCACGCTTGTCCTCGGGGGTACCACATGTACCCTGTTACCGTCCCCGCTGCACTGTGAGTGCCACCAGTGCGGGCACTTCATATTTGATCTTCACATGGCTCCCGGCTGCCCAGTGTGGGCACTGAGGCTTCAGGAGCACCGTGTCCCGGTCCTGCCTGCCATGGCCACTGTCCCCCCTCAACCCCCATCCTGTCCCATCCCTGCTGTCGGAAAGACTGGAGGGTGACACCTTGGGGACTTCCCCCACCCCTGGCGTGACGCACAGGAAACTCTCTATCAGCCAGCCCGTGGCTCGGGGCCCGAAAGGAGCAAAGTTCTCAGTTGCCTGTGTGGGGAGAGGGCTGGGGCAGCGGGAGGCTTCCGGTGGGTGAGTCAGCGGGCACTGGGTGCTGACTCACCCGCCGGGCATGCCAGCCCAACTGGCTGCTGCTTAAAGGGGCGATGCCTGCTGGCTGGCGGATGGGTAGGGGGCTGTGAGCCCCGACCTCTCAGGTCAACATCTAGCCCTGAGATGGGCATCAGTGGTGGCCCCCTTCCTGGACCTCAGACTGGGCCGGGACCCTTGGGCAGGCCCTCCTGGACCCACTCCCGCCCCGCCCAGGAACTTCCTCTGTTAGGCAAGGGCCCTGCTTCCTCTTGTTCACGGAACAGAAGCAGGTGGCGGCGGCTGTTCACCACCCTTGGCCCAGGGAACCCTCAGGCTCAGATGTGCTGCTGGGGGCTCCGGGATGCGGGGGAGGAGAGGGGGTGCAGGGTTGGCCTGAAGTCCCGAAAGACAGGGTGGGGGTGCCTGTGGTCAAATCTCAGTTCAGTCTCTTTTGCTGTGTGATGTTGGAAAAGGTACATTCACTGCACTCTGTAAGTGATTTCAGTCCCCTGGGCATGGCCTACCTTTCAGATGAGAGGCCTCCGTTTCCTCACCTGCAGAATGGGAATAGGGACGTCTCCTGTCTTGCTAGCAGCCACGAGGATGGCTGTGGACAGCCGCATTCCACTCTTGCTAAGTGTCAGGTAGTGGGCCAGCAAGACTGTCCTCAGTCCCTAAAAAGCCCTGGCGAGACAGGAAGGGGGTGCAGAGCCTGGGCTCAGGGGGTAGACAGGCCGAGTTCAAAATCTGACTCACTTCACTGCTTCCTGACTTACTCATGTGCCCTCTCTGACCCTCAGTCTCCTTTTCTGTCAAGTGGGAGTAAACACCCATCCCTTGCAGGGTGGTGGTAAAGATTGGAGATAGTGTTTGCTTAACGAATGGCATCTGCTATTATTTTCTTATTGTTATGGTCGTGGAAGGTGTTCATTGATGGATGAATAAGTAGGACCC